GTATAATCATTTTGATGGTTATCGGTCAGAGGAAAGATATTGAAAACTTGTATGAAATATCTCGGGTACAAAAGAGCATTTCAAGATTCAGCACTAAAAGCTGCAATCAGTCTGCCAAGGTTTTTTGCTATAAGTCTACTGCAAGTGCATGAAAGCCTTGGCAGACATTTTGTCCACAATATGTGGATCAATATGAAATAACATATTTCAAATAATATACAGGTTGGAATTCGCATGAGGGAAATCAGACACATGAGTGTAAAGATCCATCTGTATATTAGACTGCTTACATTTTCCAACTTTGTAAGCAACTCGAAGAATAACATGGCGTGTTACAGGACCACCTGTGAGCACGAAGGTGCAGTTACGTTGAACATCAGTTCAAGCCAGCTTAACTTCACAAAGTACTAACTTTAAAAGTTAAAACACTTGCAGTAAACAGTTACGTCTAGATGTTCCTGGAAAAACTAAACTAAACTTCTGTCTAAAACTTCAGGTCGGGCAACTAAAAATATTTAACATCTCTCTTCTGTTTACTGCATTTGTTCACTGTAGTTTCGTCTTTCGAATGTCATCTTCACTAACTGCCCGAAACTACAGTGTGTTAAATTATAAAGCGCAGTTTTATCGTTGTGTGTCATTAGACACATCTGGGGAACATTGTCGTATCTAGTTCCTAAGAAAATCGTTTGTTTGTCGACAGTTTCTACTTCAGAAACGTTGACTTGCTACGATCAAAATTGTGTTGTGTAATTATCTGTCCACGTATTATGTAATTAGTTTTGTTTTAGTTAATGTACTGTCTAAAATTGAGCTAGCTACCGTTCTTTTTAACCAATTGTGATGTTGCGTTCGAGAGTTTTTCATCTGTTTTCATTCGGTTAAATCTGTTTTCATAGTGAGGGAAAAACAATGTTGAATAGTTAAGACGCTTCCTACAGGTTTTTCTAAATCGTTGAAGAGACACGGTAGCTGGTGTTATATGTTAATTATTGTTATTAAAGTTTCGTTGCATGATCATGTTTGGATTTGATCAGTACTTTAGGGTCAATAGTGGTTGTTAGTTCGTATTTCGGTTTAAAGATTGTCTGCAGATCTGCGGTATATTGATAATTAATGATTCTCTTAGTATAAACAATGAGAAAAAATCTTAATTTGCTTCTGCACTTTTGATTATTTCTCATTCATCTGTTAGCAAATGTTGTGTAATTTTTCTTGTCCGAACCAATAAAATATTTGTTGTTACATTGTTGTTTTAAGTCGTCTTTCAATTAATAAAGGTGCTTTTTTCTAGTTTTGAAGAATACACCGTTTCGATAATTATGTCACAAATTTCTCTTTAGCCCGGGCACCTCGTCCTCGTGAATCATGAGCCAATCGTCTTCGTTCACGAGAATGAGGCTCCCAATAATTTTACCCTGATGAACCAATCGTCAAGCAGGCATATATTTTTGCGGCGACAAGCGCAGGAACGACTCCGTAAAACACGTTCATGTGCATCGTCTTAAGCGACATAGCCCTTCCAAATTTCAATGACGAAAATTTGGGCGGGGACTTCCCAGCTTTGGTGATACGCGGAGGCTGATACGGTTGTGTACACTCCAGTTTTAAAATTAAAATACCTTGCCCAGAGATCTTGGACCCAAGATCTCTCCTCGGCAACCTGTGGCGGAATGTTGGAAACATTGATTGGTTCCCGCTTCTCATTCCCAGAGGGATTCTGTTCAACGAAGGCCAGTGTGGCAGTTCTTTACTTTGCGCTAGAATCTGTTCAAGACTGCGATGAGGACCCTTATCTTTTAGACCAGATCTTTCCATTGATACAGAGAAAACAATTTGGGTCAGGCCATTGAATGGAAAGCGGCGTAAGTGAAACCTCACACAAACAAGTCGGTTTTAACAATGTTTCAGCCAATCATTTGTTCCGCATTAGTATCTATCACATCGTGGAAAAAAAAGAACTGACGGATGTTTGTTATAAAATATTTTTATATTTACATTTATCAAAGTGGGTTGAATCAATTGTGAACCTAACGTTCACTACATATTAGGTGATGCGTTTTAATACAACTAATTAAAATTCAATTTTATATCTCCGCCAGCACAGCAGTACCCACTCGAGACAAAGTTCTTCATCGTTTGCTCATGAGGAATCAATATGCATTTCACGTTTCTGGAAATCACCACGTTTGTTATTTTTTATATATCCCTGGGGCCGGTTGTTCGAAGCTGGTTTAGCGTTTTACAAGTCCATGTTTTACAAGTCCATGTTTTACAAGGATAAAATTGGGATAAAATTTAACCCGCTGTTTTGGTTTGGGTACATTGCACATCTGTTTAATTCAAAACTTTGGAAAATAAAACTATATATTGATGAAGTCATAAATTTTGGAAAACCGCTATCTTCATGTTTCTGAACAGGCTGTGGGGAATTTTGCTTTAAAATTGCCATTAACGTAGGATTAAGCTAACTGGCTTCCAACAACCAGCCGCAGATTATCAAATAATTGTATGCTACAAAATTACTTTGCTAAATTTTCTTTGTTGACCCATACAAACGAGCACAAATTGTACGTGCCAATTTTTTAGGACAAGTACACTTGTTGAAAAGCTACCATACTTGTCAAAGAAAAAACTGGTAAAATTGTCAATACAATTACAGATGAGCAAAGAAAACTTGTCATGTCAAAATTGTCAGAAATTTGTCTGCCATTGTGAGAATACTTTAAGCTTCGAGTGACAATGTGTTTACCCTCTGTAAATAATATTTTGACAATAATAATGCTTATGGATAGAAAACTTTGCTAAATCAAACGACGTGGTGTTTTCCAGATCAGAAATAGAAAACACTCAGTCAACTGTCCAGTCAAATGTGCATTAATTTCGACCTGTTACACAAATGCATAGTTCCTGGTTTATTAACCATTGAACATGCGCCAGTCAAGTTTTTAATATTCTCTTGGTGCAATCTCGAACTTCCAACGATTACTCATTCTTGACATGACAACCAGACGAACGTTTTGATCACATTATAACCATCATCACTGCCACCACCATCTAACCACCATTATCGTCATAACGATCACACAACATTCATAACACTTTTAAATCCACACAACGTACATTACATTCTTAAACGCGACCATCATAATAAAATAACCACTACTATCATCACTATCACGGACAACACCACTATCATAACCATCAGCTTCACCATTACAATTTACCATTATGACAGCGTCATCACCATTATCTCTATCACCACTATCACAGCACTGTGGTCATAACCATGATCATTGCTACCACCATTATCATCATCACCGTCATAACAATCCACACACATGCATAACACTTTTAACACTACAACCATAATCACGACCATCACCATCTCAAGCACACGAGACCGTTGGAACACGAATCATCATAAAACAACCACTGCTATCATCACTACCACCATTACGGACAACACCACTATCACAACAACCAGCTTCATCATTACGGTTTATCATTATGACAGCGTTGTCACCAGTATCTTTGTCACCACCGTCACAACACTGCAGTCATAACCACCACAATAGTTAAAAACATCACCATCAGATATTACAATCATCTCCAAATCAGAAACACCATGATCATCATCTTTATGTCATCACGTTCTCATCATCCATTTCGTAACCAGGTTTTGTTAACACATGATACTTGGTCCATAGTTAGAACCTGTAACCCTAGGTAGGGAGGCGAGGGAGTACTATCACTTGCCCAAGGTGAACTCCCAGACAAGCGGAGGGAAGGAGGTGACTTACTACTCCATTCTAGACTGGCTCCAAGCAAAGTCTAGCCGCTGCCCAAAAATTATGCTCTTGACGATGATTTTCATTCCTTGCTCACTACATCCTTACCAATGGCTTTCCCACAGAAAAGGAATTCTCCATAAGATTGAACGATTGTGCCTTGAAATCGACGATGGAACCATTGTAAACTTATCGAATTTGTTCTTCCCAGAATTAAAAAAAACTCTGACCTGACAAATTGTTTTTCCTTTTTTTTACTGCGTCTCGTTTCTACATCCAATTTCGTTTTTAGACTCGTATGTGGTGCAACATGTGACAATAGTAGATATGTAAGTTTTGTGTGTAATCTGGACATTGCTTTGTTTACTTGTCTGTTTAAACTTACTTCTCCTAGGAATTTAAAAACCTGTGACTTGACAACTTGTTTTGTATTTTCGTGATTTCGTTTGGCTGCACCCCTTCAGAAGTCTGCCAGTGAAACGTAGCTGCCTTACGTTTAATACTGGACAGCAAAGGGTCTTGGGGAATACACAGTCGAAGGAATTCCATTTTGCCACTTATCCTAGGGAAAGCCAGCACAGTCCCGTTTGGAGAAAGTTTCGTTTGTTTTAGCGAATCCCATGTCAAATATCGTTGATAGGAATACCCAAGACGCGCACCAGATTCAATGTCAAAATATTGTATGAGTTCAGGAGATGCAGCTATAACAACCCCGTCGTCCTTGTTAAGACAAAATAGGTTAAGATAACCAAAGCAAGGATAAAATGATATACTTTCCTGAGAACCGGTATCTAAGTAAATAATTTTACAGATTCCACAAAAATTAAAACTGTTAGACTTCTCCGAAACAAGAGCGACCTTAGAACAGTTACTGTAGCAACATACGGAATTGCAGTCAAATTTTGTAGTCGGTTTTGTAAACAAAACTTCATACAAAGCTGGTTCCTCGGCAGTTCTTTTCCAAATGTAATGTTTATCTTTACTACCAAAGATGAAAGTACCATAAGGAGAAACTGTAATAGTCATCTTCGGCTCAATTCCTGGTAAGGTAAGCATTTTCGGTCCCCCAACACCGTTGACATTGAGAACTTTTACAGGCTTCGTCTTTCCGCACTCAAAGCTAAGAAAGCCCTCGGAAAAATCAATGACTGCTGATAAGGATACGAACTCGTCCACTAAATGAGACAGCGACACTTGTTGGCTCTGAGAGAATAGGATTTTTAAATTGCTATTCACCGGGTATTTTGTTAAGCTGGGAATCCTGCCAAAAAAATCAAATACGAACGAGAACTTTTCCGACCACCAACAAGCAAATGACGATTCCTCCTTATTCCATTTGAAACTTTGTTCGACCTGGCTGGCAGCGACATTCCATATGTTGATAAATCCATCTGAGGTACAGGTGGCAAGTCGGGAGCCATCAGGAGAGAACGAACTCCAAAGAACTCGTGTAGGACGTTGTAGACAGGAAGGTTGTTCATGTATTGGAACTTTTGTCTCAAAGACAAACAACTTTTCACTATCTGCGTAGAACCATAGATCATCATTAATCTTCTCTATTTTCCTGAAGTAGTAATGTATGTCAGGATCATAAAAAACACGAACAAAAACGTTCCAAGCAGCAAGCGTGGTAAAATGAGTATTTTCTATGACACTCAAAGACTGCTTGTTAAAAGCAAAAATGCATTCCACATCATTGTAGGTCCCTGTGGACCAGGTTTCGATTGAATTTTCCCACGATTTCGTTGGTAAACAAGTTTCAATTTCTAATCTGTTACAGGAGTTTAATTCTTTGAATCCAGGTCGAAAACAACGATAACATTTTTTACTTCGTAAAATTCCTGGTTCTCTCACTTCAGCTATGTTTCGCTTATCACACCTTTGCCATGTAATGGCGTTCCAAACGCAAAATAAATCTTCTGTGGCAGGTTTGGTTTCTCCAACGACACAGCCTCCTGCTTTAGATGCTGAGTCTTCACTGATAGAAACGTCCGGGTAAGATCTTCTGTTTCCAATGATAAATAAACCTGTACTACTGAAGGAGCACTCACCAACAAGAACTTCAGCGCTAAGTGAGGACAGCAAGCCTTGCTTAGCAACGTCCCATAATTTTATGATTCTTGAATCGTTGCTAGTTACTAGCCTGCTTCCGTTCGGAGAAAACGCACACGACGTGAACGTTTCTTTATTCCTGTTGAAAAATGGTACTTCTTTTCTTTCAGCAATGTTAAGTACAGTTTCCAGTTCACCAAATAATACATAGGAACCGTCTGGAGCAAATGTGCAACATGATATACCTTTAGTTGATCGATATTGCCAAAGCTCGATCATAGTTGGTACATAAACAACACTGATGTTTCCATTTATCTGTGCGGCTGCCATTGTCTTATCACCGGACACAGCAACATCTGTAATACTGCCCCACGGGAAAAGCCGGATTACTTTTGGCATAGCATCCACGTCATAAAAATTAAACTCGACACACGGTGTGGCCTTGGATAAAAGCGACTCTGCAATTTTCTTCTCCTCATCGCTGAAATATCCTTTTGGAGAATGCGTAAGAATAATGTATAAATAAGCAAATGGTTTATTTCTGAGAAGTGTTTCGAATATTGGAATCATGAATTGACTTAGAAAATCGAATTCAACGATATGCCATGATATTCGTGCTCGTAGTTCGTCGCTTTTGATCACTTTAAGAACATCTACCCAGAGTTGAATCAACTCACTCATTACACCCAAGTCAGTATCGGTGTCTTTGTCGCGGTACATATTTAAAAGGACGTGTACTATTACTATATCTACGACCCAAAAGCAACTTTCCTTCATCTTACACGCTAACAGGTGCTGAAGGCCATGATTCAAAGCATACTTTACGTCGTTCGTCAGGTTTAAATCATGTCCACAGCAAACAATTTTCTTAATTTCTTTTAACACTTGTTCACAAATTAGCCAAACAGATTTTCTTGCTTTACTGATCTTAACAGCATATTCATGATCTTCGTAGCCTCTTGCAAGGAGCCAATCAATCACAGATTTATGAAAAATGGTCACTTGGTCATCAGAAACGTACAACAAGCATGATAGCGTTTCGTTAACTTTTTTAATTATCTTTTTCGTCTCGCGACAATCTGAAGCCAAACCAAGAGCCCGAGAAATGAACTTGAGGGGAAGAGGTCCTTCACAAGCAACTAGCAATTCCAATATTCTCAAGACATCAAAATTCTGATGCACTATGGCTCTAAGTTCATCTTCAAGGCGTTTAAAATATGCTTGGTAAATGGTATCAAGGCCTTTTGGGAGAAAATTGATAATCTCACTAAATGACATCTTCTCAAGATCATCGCGTTTTTGCAGCTCGGATTGAACGAAAAATGCATAAAGAAATGAACATTCACACTTTTTAACAAACCTTGAAAACATGCGTGAATCTGCCTTTCCGTCAGCTAAACTTGGAAGGCAAGCTTTAAGGTAAAGTTCAAGATCTAACTGAGTGTTGGCATCATTGCTTTCAAAATTGATCTTACGAAGACCGCTTAGTTTTGCTACAGTAATCTCCGGCCTGCTCGTTACCAAGACCTTTATACACTGGGCCGGGGAAGATCTGGAAAATAATTAGCGATCAAATTTACAATTTCATTCTTATCATCTGCTGCACTTTCATCCAAGCCATCGATCACAACTAAAATGGACTCTTCTCTTTCTAATTCATCGAGTGGATTTTGCAAGTATATTCCAAAGGCATCCTTTAGGTTTTGGATTTGGTGAGGTCGTTTTAACTGATCAAGAAGCTTCTCTTTAAAACCTACGACAGTGTCACACATCTGACTCGCAAGTGACTGCAGCATAATCATAGGATTTCTTAGGTTTGAATCACTAAAGTCACAAAAGTGGGAAGCAGCCAACTTGCCTTTCTTTTCAAAATCGTCACAAACTTTAACTGCAAACACACTTTTACCAAAACCAGGACCGGCTGTTAATAGCAATATTCTTGAGTCGTGCTTATTCTCATCAAACCACTCGTTAACTTGCTTCAGTAACCATTTTCTTGTGCCAGGCATGAAAAGCTTCACTTTACCTCTAATTTTGCTTTTGAAATTATGCTTTGCTAGTTTTCGCAAGATATCTTCATCCTTTTCATCACGAGTTTCTTCAGTAATCTGTTCCAAACGATTTATAGAACTTTCGACGGATTTAACATCATTAGACAATACTTCTAGCATTGCAATACACTCCTCTTCCTGTGATTTCCTTATTTTAAGTGCCTCTAGATAGATTTCTTCTTCAGGTCCTAAAGGACAAATTTTTAAGTCGTCCACATCTTTCTGAGGAATGTTTAATTCAACTAAAGCCTGGGTGATCTTCTGCTATAAAGATTGAAAAGTTGCATTATCCAGTTGGGTTGACGTCACATGTGCATAAACTTGATTTCTGAACAACTTGATTCTTACAATATTTGCTTGTGGAGATCTATCTGCGTCTGGGGGCATCGTATTCCACCCTGTTGCAGGTGAGGGTAAGCCACAAACGTTCCGTAGAAGAACGGTATGTAATGTGATATCAAAGGTTTTGGAGTCAGGTGGGTTACCGGACGGTGGGAACAATAAGTCCCACTGGGAATCATTAATAACTCGAGGCTTTAGCTTTAGAAGGGATATTCTGTTGGTATTGAGAACTGCAGGCAGGTTAGCAGGAGGATATTTGACATCGAGCGTATTTCTTAAAGCTTCAGTTCCTTTGTCAACCAAAAGTTTACTGAGTCTTGTAAAATTTGCTTTTTCTTGGAGGTCGACAGAAGTCATGACACTGCACGAGATTGCTACAAGATAAAGGATTTTTCTTGGATACGTTTCGCCTGGTGAAAGACTGAACAGAGGCCAGGGTCAGTATTATGTTCCATTCATAATTAATTTACCTATTCACGATCTCGTAAGAATACAAATGAGAATATAATGAGCTTGTCATTGCTAAACTAGAATAACGCTGACAGAGACCTTGATGATTTCGGATGTCACAAAAACCGAGTTCAATTATTTAACAAATAGATACGTTTTGCTGCTGTCTGTTCAGTTATAGATACACAATATGACGTCATAATGTGGGAAGAACAAAAAGAAAAAAAAATTAAATAATAATAAAAATAACCCCAAATTAAACAGGTAAATACCTACTTTTTATCCACCCAAACATTTGCAAATTTGAAAAGGTCGAAATTTTACAAATATCACTCGTACATGATATATACAAATAAGGGAATGTTCTCAAGTAATTCTCAAGATATTCAGCTTTTTCAAACATGTAAATTAGGTCCAAAGTGACGTCATTTACTCCAGAATATTAAATCAGATTTAGAAAACAATGAATATATTACTTCGTGATGGGTAAAATTCACTCAATCTTTGCAGCACTATAGCTATGTGGTACATAAAATAACTGCTTCACTAAAAAATGTTAATTGTGTTTTCCGCCATATTTGTGAAAAATACGACCATTCAAATGACTGAAACTTGACTTTTCCCTCGTATGCTTTAGTTTAAACCTTGTTTAGCAGTGAAGAAATGATCTGGTTTTTGCTCTACAAGCAAAACGCATTTTTTGCTTTATGGTTTCCATGAAAAAAGCAGTGATACAAATTTTGAGATGTGAAAACACTCTTCGTTATATACTAGAACAATGTTTGAATTAATTGTTTCTGTCACGAATAAAGATATTCATCGTTTTCCAAATCTGATTTCTGGAGTAAATGACGTCACTTTGAACCTAATTTGCATGTTTTAAAAAGCTGAATATCTAAAGAACGAAACAAGATATTGAAAAACCAAGAACGCCGTGCTGGAAGTAAGCCCACCCCCCTCCCCCCAAAAAAAACAAAAGTAGATCAGAGTAAGGTAGTGATAATGAAGATTCTCGATCAGTGCCTAAAAGGCAAAATTACTAACATGTGGTCGATAAATTCGAATATTCCTGATGTGAATTTAAACTGGAGGGCTTCTGCACCCACCACAGTTTCCACAGGCGGACTAAGCAGAGTATGTTCGACGATGCTAATTTGCTGGAGATTTTATAGGCCCCACTAAGTCATACTAACTTACGAAAACCAATTACAGTGATTAAGCAATATTTGCAGCTTTTTTGACGTCCAAGTTCTTCAATTTGGCTGAAAACTACGATTCCCTGAAAATTAGCCCTCCCCCAAAATAAAACTCGTACGCGTTCCGGCACCACTGTAGAAAAGCACTAAAATTAAGTTTTTAAATAACGTCCAACCTGAAGATTCATTTGTCAGAGCAAACTGTTTTGTGTTAGAAAGAGTAGTATAAAAAGACGCAAAATTATTATAGTATAGGAATTAACGCTCTCTTAAGCTTTAGAAATACAATAGATTTACACTAAGAATATTCATACAAAATATATTTTACAATGTTATTAGTCAAAGCTAAAATACACATACGAATATTAAAATTATACAAAGCCAGTATAGAATTGCAGTTTAAAATTAGAGGGAAATGAGATTGCTCTGGGAAAAAAATACTATTTATGTCTAGTACGAGAGATCTTTGTGATCCAAAGACAATGGAATATATTTGGTATTTGGGTTGAGTTATCCTTCTTAATGCGCTTGAATTCTGTGGCAGTTATAATAAATTTCTTCTTTCCTTCAGAGAGGGAAGCGTGTTGTTTGGAAGTCTGCGTATTGCATATTCTCACCTGGATGTTCTCTAACTCATCTGATAAGGATTAGATTAGAAGAGGTCTTTCACAAGCAACTAGCAATTCCAATATTCTCAAGACATCAAAATTCTGATGCACTATGGCTCTAAGTTCATCTTCAAGGCGTTGAAAATATGCTTGGTAAATGGTATCAAGGCCTTTTGGGAGAAAATTGATAATCTCACTAAATGACATCTTCTCAAGATCATCGCGTTTTTGCAGCTCGGATTGAACGAAAAATGCATAAAGAAATGAACATTCACACTTTTTAACAAACCTTGAAAACATGCGTGAATCTGCCTTTACCGTCAGCTAAACTTGGAAGGCAAGCATCTGATAAGGATTACCACCCCAGGTTGGTGTAGTATATTCTAATAGTTGTCGAACGTTTGTCTGATAGCATAGTGTAGCAATTTCTCCTGGGAGATTTTGCGGCATTCCCTTAGACAGAACAGACGTTTACAAGCTTTTTTGGTGATTTCCCATACGTGCTTGTTCCATTTAAATCAATCAGAACCACAGAGTAGAGACCATGCAGAAAACCGACTCACAATGTGGAAAATTAAAAGAAATGTGGAAATGTGTGACTATCGCGTCCCCTGAATGGGAGCGTAGCTCCAACCAGTGTTATTTCACAATATAAAACAAAAGTATTCAAGCTTGACTTAGCTTAGAAGTCTAGAAATATATTAAATGAGTAAACAAAAATGACCAAAGTGTTCATACAGGTTGGCTTCGCTTTGAAGCCATGATAATCCCCATTATAAGCACCGGTAAAAAGTTTGTTCTGTAGTCAACCCCAACTAACTATATAAAAGTAACTTCACGCTTTTTATATCGTAACGATCTACCCACGCAATTCACCGTCCTTGATAAATTTGCATGTCGAAACATGACACTCCTCGCCCAAGACCAAAGGTCTTGCTACGCCCTATTATGATGAGGTATCACATTCCCTGGATTGAGTCTTTGCACGTACAAGCAGGACCAATTCCTTGATCGGACGTAAATATATCTTTTCTGCCCCGTCTTTCAACACGGCAATCTTCACTTTTCGGACCTTGTTGTCTTCGCTTCTGATGGCGTCCACCACTCTTCCCATTGGCCATTGATTTCGGTGGGCGTCGTCTTTCATAAGGACAACGTCGTCAACCTTGAGGTCTGGATGGCGTTCGTTCCATTTTGATCTTGGTTGCAGCATTTGCAGATACTCGTGTCTCCACCGGATCCAAAATTGGTCAGCTAAGTACTGGACTCTTCGCCAATGTTTTTTAGAGTATGAATCTTGATGGACAAACACTCCTGGTGGGGGAAGAAGTGGTTTTGTTTTCACCGTTAGTAGCATAGCTGGCGTCAGAGGTTGCGGTTGGTCGATATCTGTTGGTATCAAGGCAATTGGTCGAGCATTAACTATTCCGGTTACTTCTGCCATAAGTGTCGTAAGCACTTCGTGCGTAAGTTGAGAAGGTCCGATCTTGAGCATCATAGCATCCAGGATGCGACGTACTGTCCCAATCTGTCGTTCCCACACTCCCCCAAAGTGAGACGCGTGGGGTGGGTTGAAGAGCCACTCACAATTTTGTTCTGTGACCCATCGTTTGATATTTGCTAATTCCGCATCTTTAGAC